AGCTGACTTCCTGCCCTTCGGGTGGAGGGCTGGACTCGATGATATTCCGAGGTCCTTTCCAGCCCTAATGTCTATGAAATCTAAGGAGTATTCTGCACTTGTCCGTATCTGTAGGGAGCGAACCAGGAAAGCCAAGGCTGCAACCAAACTCCAACTGGCTACACATACCAAGGAGAATAAAAAGTCCTTTCAGATATGTGGAGAGTGAGAAGAAAAGCAAGGGTAACATCGGACCCCTGCTAAACCAAATGAGATAACTGACAACCAAGACCCAGGAAAAAGCCAACCTGCTTAATGTGTACTTCGCATCAATTTTTCAATCAGCTGAAAGGGAACACCCTGCCTAGCATGATGTGGGACGGCCAGGGTGAGGGTGAATTTATACTGAGCATCGGTGTAGACCTTATAAAGGAACACCTTGAGAGACTGGACACCTTCAAGTCAGCTGGTCCTGATAGACTGCACCCCTGAGTACTTAAGGAGCTGGCAGGCATCATAGCCCAGCCACTGGCAAAGATATTTGAAAACTCGTGGCGCTCAGGTGAAGTATCCAAAGACTGGAAGGAGGCCAAAGTGGTACCCATCTTCAAGAACGGGAGGAAAGTAGATCCAGGGAACTACAGGCCAATCAGCTTGACTTCAATCCCTGGAAAGATTCTAGAAAAATGATCAAAGAGACCCTTCTTGACAACCTGGCTGATGGCAACATCCTGAGGAACAGCCAGCATGGGTTTGTTGTACATAATTCTTGCCTGACCAATCTCATCTCCTCCTATGATCAGGTGACATATCACTTGGACAAGGGAGAAGAGATTGACATCATATATCTGGACTTCAAAAAAGCCTTTGATTGGGTGTCCCATGATCTTCTCATGGAAAAATTGGCCAACTGTGGCTGTGGCTACATTACAGTCCGATGCCTGGGGAATTGGCTCCAAGGTCAGACCCAGAGAGTGGGAGTCGATGGAAGTGAATCATCATGGTGCTCCGTGACCACTGGTGTCCCCCAAGGCTGCGTCCTTGGACCTTTTCTCTTTAATGTCTTTATTAATGATGTGAACACCAGTATCAGAAGAGAGTGGCTAAGTTTGCCGATGACACTAAACTTTGGGATAGAGTGTCCACACCTGAGGATAGGTTAGTGCAAGGTACTCCACCTCGGGAGAAAAAAACCCCGCAGCACGCTTATAAGCTTGGCAGTGCTACACTTGCTACCACCACAGCCGAAAGAGACTTAGTGGTCATAACAGACCACAAAATGAACATGAGCCACCAATGCAATGTCGCAACTGGTAAAGCAAACAAAACTCTGGCTTGCATCCATAGACGTTTCTCAAGTAAATCTCCGGATGTCATCTTCCTACTGTACTCGGCCTTAGTGAGGCTGCAGCTGGAGTACTGAATCCAGTTCTGGGCTGCACAATTCAAGAAGGATGTGGAGAAGCTTCAGAGAATCCAGAGGTGAGCCATGTGCATGATCAGCGGGCAAAAGAATAGGCCTGATGAGAGTCTGAGAGCCATGGGACTCTTCAGCCTGGAAAAGCGCAGGCTCAGGGGTGACCTGGTGGCAGCCTATAAGTACATAATGGGTGTGCATCAGGATCTGGTTCCCCCAAGGCCTGGAATAGACTCCCTCCAGAGGTGGTGCAAGCACCTACTTTGGACTCTTTTAAGAAACTTTTGGACGTTTATCTTGCTGGGATCCTTTGACCCTAGCTGACTTCCTGGCCCTGGGGCAGGGGGCTGGACCTGATGATCTTCCGAGGTGCCTTCCAACCCTAATGTCTATGAAATCTATGAAGTCTGCATGGGGCAGGGTGGAGTGGGATGCCACTGTGGGCTGGGGCTGGTGCTGGTGCCAGGCTATTCCTAGTGGGGGGGCTGGGCCAAGCTGTGCTTGGGGCAGGCGGCAGTGGTGCTGGGAGAGGGAACTGTGGGGGCTGTAGCCCCACCTGTAGCCCCCTGCCAGTGCTGCCACCGTGCACCCTGAGCGCTGCCTGGCCCAGCCCTCGCTGGGAAGAGCCCAGTGCAGCCCAGCCCCAGCCCTCAGCAGTAGCCTGCTCTGTCCCGTGTGCAGATCCAGGGGTACATGCCCCCCATGCCCTCCTGGGATGCATGCAGCAGCAGCCTCCTCAGCCCCAGCCCCACTCCCTCCCCCACAAGTGAGGCCTCGATTTGCACACCTCTCCTCCCCCCAGCCCCTTCCCTCACAAAGCACTTACCAGCCAGACCCGGCTGCTCTCCTGGCTGCCTGTGTGCTGTGCTGCAGCTGCATGCACACAGGTGGCATTTATTGGCCACATTAGGTCTGCATATCCCCCACGACCTTTTTAAGTACCCCTAGGAGTAAGCACACCCCCGGTTGACAACCACTGAGGTATCTGATTTGGAATCTTTTATAAATGGCAGATGGCTTTTCATTGGGATGCAAGAACCTGATACTCACTTAAGGCCAAATCCTGTTCACTTCTCTGGAACTTACATACATAGCTTCATATGCATGTAATCTGTTTATGTATTCAAAACGTAAGGTGGGAATAAAAATGGCTAGGTAGATAATTAGAGAACTGCCACTCATAGACACAAGAAGAAAACAGAATTTGACCTGGACTCTTCCTCGATACTTGGCCTTATAAGAAACAGAGCATAAGGTAGAAAGTCTAGCCAGCCCTCAGAGAATTAATGTTATATTCATTGCAGAAAATCAGGATTAGAATGGTGAGATTTTCTGAGAGTAAAACCAAGACATTTGTTCTGGGAAATGGTGGGGGCTGTGGCATGATTTTGATAAGGCTCAGGAAAGTGACATGGAACAGTCTTCTACAGGGGTAATGGGAGACTGAACAACAGAGACTTGTTGGAATATTTTGCTTACTTGGAGCACTGTCATGGATGCTATAAACTGTTCAGGAAAGACAGGCACAGAGCAGAGGAGGAGGAGTTGCACTATATGTGAAAGAGCCGTATGATTGTTCAGTGCTCCAGTATGAAATTGGAAATAGGTCTGTTGAAAGTCTCTGGGTCAGAGAGGAGAGCAACAAGGGTGATGTGGTGAGCAACAAGGGTGATCACCAGACCAGGAGGATGTGGTGGATGAGGCTTTCTTCAAACAGCTAGTGTAAGTTTCCCAGTCACAGGTCCTGGTTCTCATGGGGGACTTCAATCACCCTGATACCTGCTGGGAGAGCAATACAGCAGTGCATAAAAAAATCCAGGAAGTTTTTGGAGAGTGCTGGACACAACTTTCTGGTGCAAGTGTTGAATAGGCCAACAAGGGGCCTTCTTGACCTGCTGTTCACAAATAGGGAGGAATTGGTAGGGTATGTAGTAGTGGATGGCAACTTGGGCAGCAGTGACCATAAGATGACTGAATTCAGGATCCTGAGGAAAAAAAACCTTGTCTGCTTATGTCTTTAGACCAATACGGTTATAACCTGCACCACTTGCTTTTAGTGTTTTTATCAATTGGTTTTTGGATTGCTAAACATACACTGGGCATTCACATCAAACAATTTCAGGTTCATATGTTTTGGCTTTGAGTACCTCTTGGGTAAATCATTTCTTTGTATGAAGGAAGATGCTTTTAAGAGTGACTATCTTTTAATTAATTATTTCTTAATCTAATTTTTACTTGTAGTGTCCATAGATGTGTTTTACTGCACATGTTTTGAAAACTGGATTTCTGGTTCTGACTTACTATAAGCATGAGTAGTTACATTCAGAAGCGACTTAAATGATACTATAATGTACATGTCACAAAACTAGAATAGGAGGAAATCAGCAAGTGAGTGCATAAGATGCTGTAGTTTGCACGCAGATAGATAAAAAGTGATAACATTGCAGGAAGGTAAGTAACAGGAAGAGGTTAGATAAGTCATTTTATGTTGCACACATACTGATGGCCTCAACTACTGAAAACACTTAGAATACTTCATCCGAATGCCCCTGAAGGACAGATTGTTCCACACAGGTGTACATGGAACTAGGAGCTGGAAAGATCCTTGTCCCCTTGCACTTCCCTACACAAAGAAAGGGGAAAGACATATTCCTTGCCCTCAGAGGCATACAAACAATGCTCTTCCCTACAGCTCCTAAAGGTGACCATCGTATCCATGGAGTGGGGGAAAAAAATCACAGGTATGGCTTTGAGGGAAGTTGGAGGTGGGGGAGGAGTTGTTACAGAGAAGGAAGTTCCCTGCATACTCCTTCTGTGTGCTGTGGGCTTTCGCTTTTCATAATTTGGCCATGTCTATGAAGGTAAAGTATCATGATTCCAAGCAGAATACTTAAACCAAAAAGCACCAGAAGCCATCATCTGCTTTGAAATATTTTGGATACCGAGTTTTACATACAGTATAAATGTCTATAACAATGACCATGCAAAATGATTGAACTTGCATGCTAAAATATGATTCCTATCCAAAAGTACATATTGATATCCTATATAAATGATTTACATAATAAAAGAACAAGAATGCAGCACAAGATGCTTTCTCCCGTGATGGAAGCAGTTACAATCCAACCCTGAAAATCACTGCATCGATAATCTGGCCAATCAAGCAATTACAAACCTTTCTTGCATTTGCAATCCTCACCCAGAAGCTCTGCAGGTGGGCATTTCTCCTTTGATGTTGCTTTGTTTTGAGAACCTGTAGGTGAACCTCTGTTGCTTCTCCCTGCTTGGTCTTGAGACATGCTGCAGGAGAAAGGTCTTTTACTATGCACATCAGCTGGTTTACTAAATAGCTGTGCACTAGCGTAACTCTTCTCTCTATTTGCAAGCTGCTGCTGTACAAAATTGAGCTGCAGGTTCTGCATTCCCTTCTGCAGGTTGGCTTCTTTTCTCTTATTTTCTTCTTCTCGTTTCCTGTAATTAACACCAATAGTAAATGCCAAATCTAAAGCATGGATCTTCACAGAAATGTGACAGACTTAACAAGAGCTCAGCATCACACGATTTTCATAATTTTATTTTTAGCCCTGCTCACGGGACGAACAGGTGCATGCCGCATTGAAACATCTTAGCTTGAGAAAAATGAACAGCTGAATTTGGGTGGTAACTGAATTAAGATAAACTGATATAAGTGAGTTTTAAATCCATTTAACAGAGGTTTTCACTAATTTAGTTAAATTGGTTTAAAAACAAGCTTTAATTGATCTGCTGTAACTTAAGGTCTAAAATATGAGAAACCATGGCCAGAATTAAACTGTGTGTTTTTTCTGAGAGTATAACTATCGAATTTCCAACCACTGTAGTGACAGTACCCTCATCTTCCTTGCTTTTCCCCCAATGGTACGTTATAAGGTGTCCTTGGTGTTTGTTTTGGGTGAAGCTGTGAAGTGGTAATTTTGGAGATTCCTTTGATTAATGATTGCCTGAAAACATAAGGGAGAGGACTTGATGGCTCAAGGGGTCACCCCACTCCTACTATGGCCTCCCAGTCCTACTATGCTCTTTCATTTTACTTAAAAAATGTGAAGTTTCCTTGTTTGAAGGTTCTTCTGTGAAATATTTGCTAATGAAACCTAGTACATGCAAATTTAAACATGCTAAGAAATACAATTCTAACTCCAATATAGCTATCCACATAAATTTAGGAAATAATATGGGATTAGGTAACACTCAGAAATTCCACATACTTAGAAAATGTGGGAATCAATAAAACATCCTACATTTTCTTCTTAACTTACGATTGCATTATTATTAGAATAGGGTAATGTGGAATCTCCATCACTGGAAGTTTTTAAGATTAGGCTAGACAAGCTTCTATCAGGGCTAGTTCAGGTATAGCTGATCACTTCAGGAAGAGGGACAGACTGGGTGATTCTCAAGTTCCCTTCTAGTCATATTTAATATGGTTCTATGTTTTCTACACAAATATTAACAAATTTATTTATAACCTATATTTGTCACCTTAAGAAGTCTGTGTTTGCCCAACTTATTATCATGATCTTTTTGTTTTGTTCAAATTCCAATACAATATGCAATACCACATGTATTGATTTTGATATGAAGTTCTATATAATTTTTTCATCAAAAAGACTTTCCATACTTAATTTCTTCCATGATGCCCAAAAGCTACAATTACAACCAAATCATAAAAATGTAGGGCTTGAAGAGAACTCAGGAGGTCATCCAGTCCAACCCCTGGCTTAAGGCAGGGTCATCCCTGTCTAAACCATCTTAGATGAGTGTTTGCCTAAACTGTTTTTAAAAACTTTGTGAATAGCCCTCATTCATGGGTACCAGGTATAATGTTTGAAACCTCAAAAATACCCCCCTACACACATACACACTGTACATAGGCAAAGCAGGGGACAAAAGCACTGTCAATGTCCTCCCACTGCAAAGACTGGACGTAGTTTTTAAAATACTCTTGACAGTTGCAAGGTAGGGATGTGAATAGTTAAATGATTACCCACTGTTTGCCATTCTCTGGAGTACTGCATGAAACCCAATGATCCTGCTTTAATAAACAGACCTACACTGATAGCTTATGCAACTGATCAAAGCTTATGCAACTTGCATCCCAGGAAAGTGAGACAGATCTGAATGCTGTGGGTGAATCAGCTGAACCAACTGAGCTAACAGCAAAAAAACCCCACCGGAAACTGAGAAAACAAGGACTATCACAAGGCTTTAAGGTGAAGATTATGCTAAAAACCTGATGAGGATGCAGTAGAAAATTAACTGGAGAATTACTTCAGGGAGACTTGCCGTTTCCTTTTAGTGCTCAGCAGCACATGCCATCCCCTCCCCTCCCATTTCCTATTTCTCCCACTGCTGCCACTACCCCTAGTGGATCTGGGAGTTAGGGGAACTCCAGAGCCAAATGTTGAGACCAGCTCCTCAAATGTTCTGCATATAAAATATACTGGTAGTGGCAAATTTCCTATAGAACTAGCCAGGTTGTAAATGTTGGTTCATAGAGCCCTCTGATACTTTAACTTGCTTTCAGTGCTGTAACATGGTTTACAGACAGTTGACACATTAGCTGACATCATGGTATATGACAGGTTAGTTATGCAGTATGCTATGATGAGTTCCTGTGATTTATATTAAAATGTTAGGGAGAAGCATTAACTTTGTTTATCACCACTATCTTATTATGTATGCACTGCAGAACAACTGATTGAACCGGATGCCTGAAAAGCTGCTAATTGATCTACAAACTGCACTCTTGGCAGTCTAAGGTACTTCAGTATTCCCTCCAGCATTGATAAAAGTGGCTGGTTTCAAATAATAAAATTGGCATTGCACAAACAGATAATGTGTGGGTGTCTGTCTCATGTACAGTATAGATCTCACTGCCATTACTCTGCTATTTAATCTGATAAATTAGACATTACTATTCACAGAATAGTCATTTTCCTTTCTTCAAAAAGAAGCCAACAGCCTACTATTAGTACCCCCCTATTCAGTCCAATGTGACAGGGAAAGTACAATCAGCCCAGAATGGCCTGAACCTTATTACTCTGAGTTGTCATCTATATGTTGCCTAGCAGGTCAACTCAAAAAACTGTAACTCCAGCAATATGGTAATTAGCATTAAACTGACATAGGAACTGGTGAGTTGGGAAAGAAAGGAGCAGATTTCTCCTGGAAAGGGTTCTTTTTTGTTACAATCTCTGATATAACTAGATATAATAAATAGTAAGTGGGGCAGGATGACAATGCTCTCATTGGCTCACTGTCTTACATAGAAAGCAGGTAGATCTGCACATTAAAGACTAACTCTGTGCGTGTGCGTGCGTGCGTGCGTGCGTGCGCGTGCGCTGTCACAAGCTTCTGGAGCCTGAAATGAATTACTACTCATGAAAGTCTGTGCGATATATATGTTTTGGTTAGTCTACAAAGACAAAAATCTACTCTGTCTTCTACTTGACTTCACACTAACATGGCTAAATGTCTTATATGCCATGTTAGGCTGCAGTTATACAGCAGACCCTTGGCTTATGAGGTAGGAATTTCAGAACTGTTCCCCTGCCACTCTTCCTCAGTCCATCTTTCCTTGCTGTTTGTTACTTAAGATTAAACTCAGCTCATGGTGCACTGTCAGGATTTCCAGTTTGAATGTGCTAGGCAATTTTGTGCTGGGAAGCCATGTATACATCCCAGAAGTTGCAGGGAAGATGAGAGTTTCAACAGCTGAACTGGCGCCAGTTGGGACTTCTAGCACCCAAAAATGCATAAAAAGTTGGTTTGTATTTTTATCCGACTAGGCATAAGTTCTGGCTTTGCTACTGGGTAAGGTATGTATCTTTACCTTCTCCTATTAAGAAGGAGATTAAAAGTCTTGGATGCAGTGGATGTTGAATTCCTCATTCTCCATAATCACACAGTAAGTAATTATATCACCAAGCCCCACTCTAATACCTGGCTTGACCTCCAACATCAACAGGGAAATGCAACTTATAATATAATCAAAGGAGAAATAGTTAAGAAGACTGACATTTAGAAGTGTCCTTCCTGGCTTTGTTGCTAACCTCCCAGTGAAATGACTGGGCAGTTCACACCTCTCGGAGCAGTTTTTTCCAGTGGTCACCAGATTCCCCCCAAAACCCAAAACTGCACTGGTTTATATTTGGCTGATTAGAAGTTTTCACTGCAACTCAAAAGGGTAAAAGTGTAATCCTTCCCCCTGCCCCATCCCAAAATGAAATAAATAATTAAATAAGAAATTCAAGAAACTGATGCATCTCGAGCAAGACCCAGGATGTCATCCTCCCGTTGTACTCGGCCTTGGTGAGACTGCAGCTGGAGTACTGCATCCAATTCTGGGCTCCACAATTCAGGAAGGACAGGGAGAAGCTTGAAAGAGTCCAGAGGAGAGCCACATGTATGATCAGAGGGCAAGAGAACTGACCTTATGAAGAGAGGCTGAGAGCCATACGACTCTTCAGCCTGGAGAAGCACAGGCTCAGGAGTGATTTGGTGGCAGCCTATAAGTACATAAGGGGTATGCATCTGGGGGGAACATCTGTTCACCAGAACACCCCAAGGGATGACAAGGTCCAATGATCATGAACTCCTGCAAAACTGTTTTAGGCTGGACATAAGAAAAAACTTTTTTATTGTCCATGCCCCCAAAGCCCAGAATAGACTTCCCCCAGAGGTGGTGCAAGCACCTACTCTGGACACTTTTAATAAATATTTGGATGCTTATCTTGCTGGGATCCTTTTACCCTAGCTGACTTCCTGCCCCTTGGGCAGGGCGCTGGACCTATGTCTATGAATCTACAAATCTATAAAAATGGTGTGAGAAGCTTCTCTCACTACTGTGGACAGATGTAATATGCCTTAAAGTGCTACAAAAAGTGAAGGGACAGATGACACACAGCACTATTGCTTTATGAATTGGCCTGAACTGTAACAAAAATGACCCAGGACAGAACAGGAACAACTCTGAAGTGTTCACTCTGAAGCCTTTTAGATTAGATTTGTTCTCCCCACCAAAGCATGATATGGACTTGGCCAGTCCACTAGGATCCCTCAATACTCTGTTTCCCACCACGTCATCACCATTCCAAGGTGGACCTCTTTGTGATTCCCTCAGGCTCTGCCCTGCCCTGGGGTCACAGGCTCTACTCTGCATGTGATCTTATGTTTTTAAAGCTAGGTGCAAAGGCATGCCAGAGCTACTATGCCTAAAGTCTTATGTCGGATCCATACTACTTACAAAAATGGTGCCACTGGGTGCCTGAACAGGTGCAGGGAGGCTGCTCCAATGTGCTGTAATTGCATGTGCTAATTAGCATGTGTGTTAATTAACATGCTCCAGCCAGCCTCTGTGTCTCATGTATTAATGTTCCCGTGCTTCAAAATGGTGGCAGGGAAGCTTTAACTAAAGCTAGTTCAGCAAGCTT